ATAACTATTTTCTAAAAATGTTATTAACTTAGGCACTGCAGGTCATTAAGATAGCACACCCCTTTGTTTACATGTTGTTTTAAATTTGTATACAATTTTAAAATCACGTGAATATGCTACATTTTTATAAAAAATGTATTATAAAAAAAAAACCAAAGGAAAACTGTACACACTGAGAATCAAAAGGCTATGCTATTCAAATGACTGGGAGTGTATTTGTTTATGTATGCACACATGCACAATGCAGAAAAGCACAAAGAATAAATTGCATAAAGTTCTTTGTAAACCTTAAATACTCAGTTTTTTGTATATGAGAGCACAACGATCAGAACTTAAATCATAGCAACAGCTGTCCTGTCCTTCACATTGACCATTTGAATGTTGAGCTAATATGCAAATAAATTGTGGTGATCGCTAGTAGCAGATATTAAAGCAACACAGCCCAGTAGATAATTTCCGGGAGTTAAAAGCTCTTCCAAAAGGCCTTCGTGAGGGTCAAGAGGCCTTCCACTCTATATTCCTTTTTCCTTTCTTTTTTATGGAGTGGCACAAATTGAAGGGCTTCTTCTTACGCTACCCATAGAACGCCTTCCAGAAGGGCTTTTATAGGGCGTACTTCAGAACGCCTTTTGAAGGAGTTCTTTTAAAGTTGCTGTATGAATTTATAAAAATTATACATCTTTGAAGTATTTGCTTAAGGTTTATATCAAATTTGTGCTTGCAACTTAAAATGTTTATTGAAATTCGTTTCTAATGCTAAATAATATAAATTTATGCATTCGCGTAAATTATCATCCATGTTCTGGAATTCGAAACTTTGATATCGAGTCGATTTGCCAAATATTTTTTAATTATATCCCATTGAAAACTGTAAAAGAAGCAGTAGCGATATGAAATAAATAATTTTAATGCGAGACTTGAAAATTTTTCGGTTAAAAACCATCGAAGAATTTATCGAAATCGAGTCGATTTAAAATTTTCGAATTTCGGAACATGCCTGTATAAATAAATAAGCCCTTCTAGAAGTCATGCATGGAAGCACTTTTTTCAACCCTCCTTGGATAAGCCTCTTCGGATGGCTTCACTTGAGAAAGCCTACCAAAATTATCTTCTGGGAAGTTCGTTCTTGCAAGAATAAAAAAAAGAGTTCCATAACAAAACGCAATAATTATATTTCTAATATTTTTGGGTAAGTGAAATTCATCGTATATACAAGTAGTTATAGTTCAGTCAGAATAGACTTTAACCCTCTTAATCTCCACCAGAGGTGGAAGTTACACCCAATGAAAACTAATGCTACCTTCATTAAAATATTACAATATATCGTCGCCTAAAATCCACGTTCATAAAACGTGTGCAATTTTTTATCGCTGAATATAAGGAGCTGAAGTGGGAAAGACCGAAACGATATACGGGTTTCAAGAACAACGGCGGCGGCGACCAATTGACCGATGCCCAGAACGTACTTAAATTTTAGAGGGAACACTTTTCCACCCTGCTGAATGGCAACAGCACTGACACTATTGGATAAGATGAAACCGAGAATATCCTGGACTGACACACTGTTCAGATTGTCAGAGGAACTACGAGTTGTTGACGATGGCGTGTGGGTGGTGGTGCGGTTATGTTGTCTATTGTATTGTGCATTTGTGTTCGTGTTGAGATGCTCAGGCGGACTCTGGTGTGCCGTGGAGGCAGCTCGATTTGAGCAGCAAGGGGCCATGTATGAGGTGGTCCACTGCCCGTGAGTCGTAAGGCCGGTGGCTCCACCCATTATATATATGAAATATATATATACGAAAAAAAATGAATGGCTAAAAATATCAAAATATAAAAAAATATCAAAATATTCGACATAAAAAGGCGTTTGCATTGTTCAACTTTGCATTCTACTTTTGGTTGAACGTCCTTTCAACTAATCGCTTTCAACAAAGTTGGTCGCCAGCCAACATTTAGCCTTTCATTTTTTTTTCGTGCAACCCTGCGTGAGATGAACGCAAAACCGCCTCGTGCGAACACCTTCTAACGGATGTGGAGTTGTGGTGTAGCAGTCTGGCACACGCAGCATGTATAGGCTTCTGGTCCAGGGTTTGACTCGATGCCAGCCCTGAGCAGAAGTGTGCGAAGCAGATGTAGCCCTATGGACGTAAAACTTTCGAGGAATTTAGCCGACCTAAACGGGGTTAGATCGCCGAAACAAGAGTCCTTGGTCGGGTAAAACACGAGTCATTCCGGTACGTAGAACCGGCTGTCGTTATACCGTCTTCGGCTCATCCAGTTCAACGAATAACGGAAGCGTTAGGGTACGCGTAAATGATGATTAAAGTCAAATGGCATGAACTGACTTAGGCCACTTTCAGATAAGCAGCTCATATGTTTTTACATAAATTTTTACTTACAATTTTTCAGGCAGGTATCTACAGCAACACTAATATTTACATACTTACCTTACGTGGTTTAAAAGCAAGTTTAAATGACATTGAAGTCGACGACATTACTTACGCCTAAATGTATGCTTTTTAACTTGACTGAAATTGTGTGTTTATTCATTTACTAAGCTCGTGTCGTTCAGAATAAAATACCTTTAAGGTAGGTATTATGCAGACAAACTTTTGTTTGGCAAATTAAATGGCGGCTGCTTAGTTTGCTCTGAGGTGGTTACGTCTAGTTTGGCACAAGGTTGCACATTGGTTGTGGTTTTTATGCTTATTACCAACACGAATTGAAAATTTCAGGTATACATATCGTGCAAATGTGTATATTTTGTACAATATTGTAAAGGCAATTAACAATGCCCTAAACTTTGAAGCTCCTACAGTATAATTTCAATTCTCTATCTTTTAGTATCACTGCAAATTTTGTGTATAACAATTACATAAAATTTTGTATATGGCAACACTAATTTTACAGCAATTTGGCCCAACAAAATTAGTGAGAGTCGCCAAACTCGCCCTCTTCTAGTTTGCTGCAACAAATGCACGCAGGTTGCCAAACAAAATTTCTGCATAACACCGACTTGACGGATAAATTATTCAATTATTCATCATATTGTGCTGAAATATGGCCTGCCCATAAGGCAATTGGACTCTTTGAATAGGCGATTTGGAACAAATAATATTAAAATATAATCGGAGCTCCATTTTTAATAGAAAGATACCCCAAGAGGCGCATTTTTGCATTAAAAACTTTATAAGATCACACCAAATTGCTGCCCTAATTAATTTTGATAAGCAATGCTGCAACTTACGCCCTTAAAGAAAGAAACTCGTATCCTACTATAAGTATGTAGCTTCCCTGAAAGTGCAAATACGATAAATCTTCAGAGCGCTATGTGAGCAGTGCTAACTCTTCTCACACAACTCGTCTCGTTCACAATCCCAAAAATTCAGACTTTCTTTATCTTAAAATACTCTGCTTTGGAGCGATTGCCATCTTTTGGCAATTCAACTTGTTCCTACCTTTGCCGCAAACACAATATAATATTTTATACAATATTTATTACAATACATTATTTTGTTTCATTCAAACCGTTATATAGTATATTAAAAATAATATCTCGCATCTACATAAAAGAAATATTTATTTTGAAAATTAATTGCAATAGCATAGAAGAGACATTTTAATAAAACTAAATAAAGAAACAAAAAAAAATATAGTTTTATCTGTATTTATTCCGGATTTTATGGGTAAACGACTAACGCTCGTAAAAAAGAAGTGTTTATGATTGCGTATGCGCGTGTCTAGGTAAACGTATGTAGTATGTACGTACGTAAGCATTTATTTGTCTATTGTTTATTTGGTGTATATTGGCATTTTGTGTAGACATGTGGATTTTTTTGTTAATTTCAATAAAACACACTGGAAAACATACTCAACACACTTTCCAAAAGTTAAGCTAAATTTCACCTCACGTTTTTGTTATTTGTTCTTTAATATAAAATTTAAGAAAAGCTTAAAATGATTTATTTTTTGTTTTTGTTTTAGAAGGTAGATATATATTTATTACAGAAAGAACGAAATCCATTAAAAAATTCATTCACCAACAAGAATAGTTTTTAATTCAAATTACTGGTAAATAAACAGCATTTAGGATCGCTTATCTCACACACTTTTACTTCAACGCTCTCGACGTAAGCACACAAATATTTGTTTTTAGTAGATCTTATGCAGAGAAATTATACAAATTATACTACGTTGTTGTTTCTTTTTCAAACTCTTTTAAATTGTTTTCTTTTCTTTTTTGATTTCGCATAGGATTACACCAATGACGCTTTGCTTAATATAGAACCCATTATTGAGTGCGAAACACGTGAAGGAACGAGTGGATCGTCCATTATCACCCTTTTTTTACTTTATTATGCATATACATACTTTACGTTGTATGAAAATATGTGGATGTGTGTAGTATGATGGGCATCATATTTTGCTGATCGAAATATTATCAATACTCGGTGAAAGGACTTTTTCTCGAATCTATGTATTTGACTGCTCTAAATTATGTGAGCATTTCGCTGGGTAGCATTGGATGCCACAAACACCAAAAATTCAAATTTGGAAATAAGTTTTGAAGAAAAGTTGCATGTCATTTCGTAACCATCATACATAATTACATGCTCGCACTATCGATGCGTACATTTTTTAATGTTTTCATTGCCATGTCGCGCTGCATTGCTACAAAATAAATGTCACATCGCATCAAGTCGCTACTCGTAAATCAGTCTAGTCTACATATGTATGTAACTTTCTTCACACTTTACGCTTCATCTTAAACTTTTGAATCGCTTTTTGCCTCTCCTACGCAGTTCTTAATGTTATATTCTTGCGTATTTTTATTTTGTTTTATTGGTTTATCTCTGATTTATCTTTTGTTTTAATTTTCTTCTGAAGAATATAATTATAATTTATAATAATTAATTAATTATAAATGTAATAATAATAAGTAAGTTGATTTATGTGTTTTGTTGTATTTTATGAATCAATTTGTAATTTTATTCCTTTTCTTTATTTATACGCAGATTTCTTTGCTTTCTGTGTTTTTTCTTGTTTTACGCATAATTCTTGCTTACTCTTGAATTAATGCAGTTTTTATTGGTTTTTTGTTTAATATATTTTTCATATTTTTTTGCTGAAGAAGAATTGTTTCACATTGTGGTTGTTTGCTTTTGCTGTTGTTGTTGGTTCTGCTATATTTAAACCCTTGCTTAACTAGAGCGCTATGCCGTTTTTGTTGCTGCTGCTACCATGTTGTTGTTGTTGTTATTGATGATGTTATAGCAATCCTTCTTATTGGTTCCATACTGGTTGCTGTTACTAGTTGACGGATCGATAGTACGAACTGGAACGCATCACATAGCATACTTTCTAGTCCACTCTCGTGCCAGCTCATTATATTTTTCCCGATCGGTTTTATATATTCTTGCAATCTCTGGTACAAGAGGATCGTCTGGATTGGGATCACAGAGAAGAGAGCAAATTGATAGTAAAACTGCAAGAGATAAGCAAATATTATGGATGCGTTGTGATCAGTCTCCAAATATATATAGATCAACTAAATAACTCACCTTTTGAAATAGTTAATGCTGGCGACCATTGAGATCTTAAAATGTCGAGACAAATCGATCCGTTACTGTTAATGTTTGGATGGTAGATACGCGTTGTAAAAGCCACTTTAGGCGGTTTGAAAGGATAATCTGTTGGAAAATGAATTGTTAAGAAGAACACGCCACCTTGGTACGGGCTGTCAGGCTGAAATTAAAGAAAATGTATATTAAAATTTATTAATTTTCGTTAGTACTTTTAATCAGGAAATAATATATAAGTTCTGGGCAGAGAAACGATATTATTAAGATTGACAGGACTATTCTGCGCTGGTGAAAAGAATTTTGTGACCGATAACTAATTATCGTTTTAGTTTTTGTTAATCAAATTTTACAATTTTTCCTGTTACAAAATGTTTGGATGCAATCAGATTAACGCTGAGTTTTTAAAAACTTCATACCTAATTTTTAATTATTAAGATTGACAGGACTATTCTGCGCTGGTGAAAAGAATTTTGTGACCGATAACTAATTATTGTTTTAGTTTTTGTCAATCAAATTTTACAATTTTTCCTGGTACAAAATGTTTGGATGCAATCAGAATAACACTGAGTTTTTAAAAACTTCATATTTCGTATTTCCACTGGGCAATAAAAGACAAGCCATTTGAATGATACATTTGCAGGTTAGGAGAAGAGTTATATAGCATTTTAATTTTTTAGGTTAACTAGTGGAAACTCCAAATAAAACCTACGATAAGAATTAGTTATCGAATTTTGTGATTTTTCTTTTATTGGGATAAACCCATGATACAAATATAAATTTAAATTTTTGTATCATGGATAAACCAGCATGGCATGACGTTCCGCTTGCTTGAACTTTGTTTTACAAATCAGTTAAGTTCCGCAAAAAAGTTTTCTATAGGCCAAGTAGAAAAATTACATTGAAGATAGCACAACACCGGTATCATTTTGACAAGGGATGACGGAAAATCGTAGCATTTTTAAGTAAAAATGAAATCATTAAATAAGTATAATAAGGTGTCAGCCTCATTGCGTAAGCCGTAAATTAGGCTAAATTGTACGACTCCACAACAGTAGCATTGTCTATTGTCGTTGAAATAAGTAAAGGACCAAAATCGTCGAAAACTATACAGTGCTGCCAAGTTTTTTCGTTTTAATACACTAGTCGAGTGCAAATTTTAGGCAATGACGTGAAATTTTCGATACGATTCGACTCTCGAAAAACGCCTTGCATTTGACACGACTCTCGCAATGAGGGTGTGTATTCGAGCTTCAATAAATGTGACAGTTACTTTTTATCAAAAAGCATCTCTTCTATGTGAAAAGCGACAAGGCGGCAGTATTGCGTTAATTATTACGTTCGCACCCCATACGTCAGGTGTTGTTATCCAGTGGCTAACACTTGTTCTTGCAGCATCCGTTTTATTGGCCGAGATGTATGGTTATGGTATGTAGTTTTTCTAAAAGACCAAACTACCAGGCATACTAAAAACGATAATGATGATAAATGGGTACCAAAAAATGAGACTCTAGTAGTACATAGTGGACAGGTTCCAACGACAGTTGGGTCTACCTAAACGGAACGAATGAGATTTATATCTGGCCAAGGACTCTGTCACACCAACATTTTCCCAAAAAACCGTCTGGCGAATTTTTATGTTGCAACAAAACTAGCTAGTTCACACATTCCAACTTTACTAACTTTAACGACCCAGATTTATGTATATCTGGCCAAAACTCTTCACTTCAGCAACATTGTCAATAATATTTTATGCTATTTTTTTGATGTTACATCAATCATAGTTTACAATACTACTTACTACACGCATTCGTTGGAGTCTCTTATGTTAAGTTGCAATAAGAAATAGAACCATGGCTTATAAAATTTATTCTTTTATAGGTCTGTACTAAGAGCTGAGCTATCCTGAAACAGCAAACAAGTTTTTTTAATGTTTATGTAGAGTTAGCGAAGGTTTTCTGCAAGTCGAACAACATAAGCCGATTTGTATAGAATTATTTTGGATTCACTGCCTATTAGCTTATCTGGACTATCCAAAGTTTGAGGCATTGTAGGCGTTAATTTTGCAGATTTGAACAAAATACCCCAGTCGTTTCACTTCTATGCCAACTGACGCCTACTGGAAATGTCAATGCCACCAATAGTTTCCGCGTTTAGTACTTTCAGGGCTCGAGCATTTGTATGCATTCGTGCATCATGACTGAGCAATAGGAACCGCTTTGTTCTAATTCGCTGCACTGTGCCTAAGGCGCTGTAAAGCTATTTACATAGTACGCGACCAACTCGTTTTGAACCAGTCACTACAAATTTAGAAAAAAACAAGTAAGAAAGTTTAAGTTCGGGTGGAGCCGAACATTAAATACCCGGCGCAAGTATTAAATATATGTTCTTCACCTTTCCGAAAGCTACCGCTAGATGGTAAGCCGGGGTGTATCAATTTTGAGTAAATTAGCGTCCTTAAATTTCGAAATATTGCAGTAGCAAGCATTTCTGAAATTTACCGTTATATGAAAAGCGGCCGTAATTTTAGTCCGATTTCAATAATTTTCAAAGTTTTGCTTTTATGTAGCAAGCACAATAAAAATACCGAGTACAAATTGGTGGAACGGTTACCGATATACATATATGCGATCATAAGTGGGCAGTGCCACGCCCATTTTCCAAAATTTTACCATAAACGTATTTCTTGGTAAAGAATTATTGCAAGCATCAATTTTGAATAAACTAGCTTTAATATTTACTGATTTATCGAAGATTTTGTATTTCTGTAAATTACCGTTATATGGGATGTGGGCGTGGTTATTGTCCGATTTTTTAAATTTTCGGCCATTTAGTATGCTGTATCAAGGCCAACAACTGTGCGAAGTTTGGAAGAAATTTGTGCAGCGGTTACCAAGTTATAAACATGTAACCATAAGTGGGCGTGGCTACGCCCATTTTCCAAAAATTTATAATATTGTTATTTTTCGCCTAAAAATTGTTGTAAATATCAATTTTGAGTGAATAATCTTCAGTAGTTACTAAAATATCGCAGTTTTCGTATTTCCGAAAATTACCGTTATATGGGATGTGGGCGTGGTTATTGTCCGATTTTTAAAATTTTCGGCCATTTAGAATGATGTATCAAGCCCAACAACTGTGCCAAGTGTGGAAGAAATTGGTGCAGCGGTTACCAAGATATACACATGTAACCATAAGTGGGCGTGGCTACGCCCATTTTCCAAAAATTTATAATATTCTTATTTTTCGTCTGAAAATTATTACAAATATCAATTTTGAGTGAATTATCTTCAGTAGTTACTAAAATATAGCAGTTTTCGTATTTCTGGGAATTACCGTTATATGGGAAGTGGGCGTGGTTACTGTCCAATTTCGCCCATTTTCAATACCAACCTACCTTGAATTAACAGAAACCTACATACCAAATTTCGTTGAGATATCTCAATTTTGCTCGAGTTATCGTGTGCACAGACGGACGGACAGACAGACATGGCTTAATCGATTTCGATTATTTGTGGTACGACTCAGATTGCTGTAGAGTACGATATTGTCCAGCTTGGTTCAACTACATAGTTTATCTATCGCTGCCGTCAAGCTGAAGTAGTTGTAGGCCTAGCAAAGTTGCTGCTTAGACGGGGTCAGATCGGAGGAAGGAGGTGTTAGCTAAGCGGATTTAAAGGCCAAAGTGAAGATGTGATTGCTGCCATGCTTAATGCCTACACAATCTGCACATATATTGGGTATGTCAAGATCCCCTTAAGTAGGAGTTTAGCCTACTTTGTCTCAATAGAAATGTTATCTTCGGGACTAAACGGTATTGTAGGAAAAAAGGAAACAAACGATAATCATGGCAAGAAGCCGGTTAAGCATCTCTTGGAGTCTTCACAGTGAAGACAAAGTGTTGGACATCTCAATTTGGACCATATTCTAAATGACATTGTTTGACACTTATGTTTCTTTATACATTTTTAAGATTTTTTCAACTAAAATACAGTTAATTCCCTCACAAATACCATATACACCAAAGTATAAAACTAAGTAAAACACTAAAAAATTCCTCGAATTTTTATCCAAATTTCAAACTTTTTTCGCAGAAGTGCTAAAATTTTTTTCCATATACAGTTTTGTAGGTCTTTAAATTTCAGTAGATAGTATATAATAGTAATGTGCAAGTTTCAAGTGTCTAGGTTGAAGATGGGAAGACGGATTTGAATACCGTGGAGACTGATTTTAATAGTATAAAGTAAATATCGTTAATTGCGTCGATTTCAGTTTATTAACGAACTATGGGTACATTTTGCATTGCCATGCAATTTATTAAAATTATAACATACACTACTCAAATTGTAATCTAATTTTCTAGGCAACCCCTTTAAAAATGATAGCTGATAAAAGCTTTAATACACAAAGGACATACGATGTTGGATATTGCATTTGTATACCTCGGTTACTGAATGCCAAGAACAACGTACTATAAACACAAACAATGCAACAATTAAAAAAAAAGTAATAACAAAAATGGAAAGAAAACGTGATATACAAAACAAAAAAGTGTATAATATGCATGAATGTATGTATTGTAAACGCCACAGAAATGCTTATGATATGTGTAGAGCTTCTTACCGGTCCCATTATTGTAGCTTGCCAGTGAAATACTGAAATAGAAAAGAGAAAAGTGATTAATTTTCATTTAGAACATACAACACACACTTGCATACATATGTATGTACTATGTACATATGTATATAAAACGCAGAATAAAAAGCGGAAAAGGTATGGATGTACGTATGTAGGAATGTATTAAAAAAAAAAATAGTAAAAAACCATTTACGTTTAACAAATACATAGCTCTTACGCTAATATGCATCAACATACATATTTACGTTCCCATGTATGAGTATGTAAAACTTATTTACATACGAGATAAACTTCGATATGCCTCCAATGATGCATTTGCACAAGTATACATACGAATGTTCATAAATGTGAATAAAAAAAGCAAAGTAGGAGACAACGTTCATTAGAGGATATAGCTTCTTTTAGACAGAGATAGTTAGCCGGAATATTTTTTTACAGTTTTGCAATGTCACGTTTACATACATGAGTACCATATTCCCCCCCTTTTGACTATAATTGTTCACACCAGAATTTTTCATTTCAAGTTTCACAGACTTCGCCGTCTACCTGTAAGTGTGTAAGTTCTTTCCAAGTATTTTGCCCAAACATAATAATGCACAAGCGGATAAGACATAAAAAATAAAGGAATTTTTGTGGGGAATACCAAGGAACCGCATCATTTAGTCTGTTCCATTGAACTTCGGACTAAAACCTGTGGAACTGTCAAACTACAATTTTACGCTCTCAAATGAGAGTAAAAGGAGAACAGATGCAGAAGTGCATAGGAACGCAAAAAGCACTATTTCCTGTAAAAACGTCAGACGGTTTGTTTACATGTCACTGGTACTACACTGATTTGGTTGAAATATCACTAAATAATTATTAAAATCTATACATATTCAAATATTTCGTTGTTTACTTCCATTTTTTAACAAATATAAGGTTCTTTGTTTTCACCGCTTTCTGTTTTTGTTTGCACATGTAAATCAGCTGATCGTTTGACACTTTTCATGAACTTACAGGAAAAAAACTCCGGACTAAATCCTGTAACTTCTGACTAGGAACAGTTGTTCAGTTACTCTCTCAAATGTGTTCCCACTTACAGGTTTTATGTCAATAGGAACGACTTCCTGTAAGTTCTGACTAAATCCTGTAAACCGGACTGCTATTGGAACAGACTAATTAGTTACATGCAAAATCTGCATTATCTGCTGCAAACCATTACCATAACAATTGCCCAGTGTCAATAATACAACCCTGCCATATATCCCACACTGGGTTAGAACTTCCTTACGATCGTAGTAGATTTACTAAGATTTTCGCGAAAATTCGAAATTTACTACGCTGTACCTACGAACTTTTTCTATTGCAGCATCTGAACCGACGATAAAATTCAAGAAGTTGAATTCTCTTTCTTTTGAAACATATAACGGGTAATCACAATCCGATGCATATGGTCTTGCATTTGCTGCTACCGTTGTTGTGAATTTTCAAATGCATCGAAATATGCAACGTACTTTTTATTTTGACATCAGCGCCCCCCGCGGTTCCATTTTTCGCAAATCTATGTCTTACTACGTTTCAACTAAACATGCCAAATGTGAAACAAATCAGAGCATAAATACGGTTTTTCAAAATATCTCGCCCTGGCTCCACCCTGCAGTGAAAACCCAAACCAGTTAGAAAAAATACTACAACAATGAAAGTAAAGCTAAATAACACAAAGGTTACCTGTTTTTTTTTTTTTTTAAATTTGCATCGACAACTTAAAGTTGTGATACACAATGGCTAGAGGCGTCGCACTATAGGCAAAACACGAGTTTTTTTCAATATTAAGAGATAATGGAATGAACATTTTTTTATCGTGAAGATAAATGATCATATAATATAGGAAAAGTATAGAGAAGTTACAACAACAATAACTTGACCCTCCAAATACCGTTTAAAATGTCTTTTTTTTTAATTTAGGATTTTGGCTCCCATTCCCCTAGAAAACACTATATTTAATACACCATTAGCACTGTTTCTGAAAGATTTCTCTTTATTTTATCTTAAGACTCGATTCTTGGGATATTGGATGCTGTACCCGAGTGGTCAGATTGGAAAAAGAAAAGCTACCTTTAAACTCTAATAACTCGTAAACTATCAGCTTTCACAAAAAAATTTATATAACAAAAATGGTTATACTGGGCGATATCTTTACGAAAGTGCAGCATTTAACCCTTTAATGCAAAGTCTGTCATATATGAAACGCTTTTTAACCCTTTCAAGGCAGAGGCAAAATGGTTCCCAATATGTTTTCAACGTACTTTTTATTTATTTTTATTTTTATTTTTAATATTTTTATTTTTTTATTTTATTTTATTATTTATTTATTTTTTTTATTATTTTACTATGGAAAAATTTTCTACGATTAATATCTACGTCATCATGAGAAAAAGCACGTTCAGAAGCATATTGAGAACCTTTTTCCTCTGTCTTCAAAGGGTTAAAAAGCGTTTCATATATGACAGACTCTGCATTAAAGGGTTACATGCTGCATTCCATTATCTCTTTTCTAAGCGAAGATCTACGATTTTGAAAAAAAACTCGTGTTTTGCCTATAGTGCGTCGCCTGTGGGCATTCTTTCATATATGTATGTATGTGCCATTTCTACCGTTATATATTTTTTGTCTACTCGGTTATTCCATGGGGAATTCATGCTTTATTTAAATTTAAAAAATTAAATTACTACACCATTTTAATAAGTTAGTGTGTAGTCCAGTTTTGTTTTGTAGAAGTTTCGTTAGTATACATTTCAGTTTTTACACATTGAATATATCTGCATATTTATATATTTACGCGTATCTATTTACATTTGTTTAAGTACAAGTATACAAAATCTTATTACTTATAAAGCGATTTTTAATCTTCGTTGCTTAACACACATTTTTTCAATTATTTCTTGTGTTGTAATCGGCACATCATTATGTACCGCTAACATCGTTAAACCATTCAGCCGCTCCTTAATTGTATAAGGAACAAATAAGATAGCATATTCAACTATTGAGTAGTCCACTTGCAAAGTGCGCGATGTAAATTTTTTTTAGATTTTTAGTTTTTGGTGCGTTTCATGTCCACTAACAGCAGAGTGAAAAATTTTTCTACATTCTGAAAAAAATAGCATGAAATGGTAACTACTTTTGCAAAAGTCGCTATAATACTTATTTATACACTTTCAAATGTCTCCTCTTCGTATAAACTTAGAAAACTGCAAGAAAACGTGGTAGTTTCGGTGCCTAGTGGAAGAGGTCGCAAAAAAGAAGCAAACCAATCTCCCTAGAGGAGAGAACGCGAAAAGCTAAAAAAAGCTAGCTATGTAAAAGTTACTGTTTCAAAACTTGCAATATTAAATTTTTAAATATAAAATTTGCAAATCTACCATACTGCAATTTTATTTTTTAATGGTATTAGGCTCTTATTTATCCAAATTTTCAGGTAATAAAAAAATATACAGTTCAGATGTTACTTGTTGTCGTAGACTTTTTTTTTAATTTATGGTTTACTTTTATAAAATCACATAACACTGTTTGCAAGTGGACTACTCATATATTCATTAAAAGATAATTTGTCATCCGTCTGAAATAAAAAAATTTTAAATCAGAAGGATAAAATAGTATTGTGTTATTAATTCAAAAGTAAATTATTGTAGTTCAATGACGAAGGTACGATATTGATATCATTCCTTTGATTTTATACACGATTTCTGCTGTGACGAACTCATTTGGACGACCTGGACGTTCGGAGTCACTTGTGCTGGTACTACCATAACGGAGCTCAGTAAACCACTTTTTAACCATTGAAATTTACAGGAGCCGTATTAAAAAGTCACGGACTTGTCAAACTGCCCTCGTACCCAACTTTCATAATTTTTCCTCGATATTAATGGTTGAAACGTCATTTTTAAGACACTTATTACGCGTTCGCGGAATTGCACCACACTTTCGCTACCATCAAAGCCTTAATTCGTATCCTCACTTTGGTCAAAGAGTGATTGTCTTATTGTGTTATATGTATGTACATAGTTGCTAAGGTGAGTAGAAGTGAAAAGATGCAGACAAAAAATTTTAAGTTACCGTTACGCATTTTTCATACAACATTTTTTTGGATACTTAATTTAAAAAAATATCTTTGGGTTATGAAATTCTTCCATTAAAATAAAAATATATTACGAGTTTTATTTTTTGCTACGATTTTTCACATCATTTACTTCTATTTCGACTTGCCGTGGTCTAACCCTGATCACTTATTTTACATAGCTTGCGACACACCCCAATATATACCATTAATTCCTCATGCCCCAGCTCAAATATAAAAACCTCTTGACGGGGATAAACCATACGAAGTTACGCTCAAATATATGCGCTGCTCTGCTGCTAACGCTGACGTTCCTGAGCGCGTTGCCGATAATGCAGTTCCAGCTATTGCTGTCAACATTGATGCAGTTGGTGCGATTTCATTCGAACTTCTTCGGCTGAAACCAACACCCACTAGTCATGAGCAAAAGAACAGCCTCATTGCCATCGCCAGCTCGAAGCTTTGCAATTGAAGTGGAGTTTCACAAACATAGTATGTATGTATGTTTGTACAATAGTTGTTGCCCTGCAGAAAATCTGACTAGCTTAGAACTAGCGTAGAACTAGACCTTTTGCCGACAGTACTAGTTCTAGCTCAATACCCAAGCAATGGTTTCAACTGTCCAGTTTTACACGGCAATGCCATTGGCGGTGGTAATTGGAGCACAGTGCAATACTTTGCAACTAGTTTTTAACCGGTTCCATTTTGGAAAGTTTTTTTTTTTTATAAGAAAACGTTTTTAAGATTCGATTTCTGGATATTTTTTCGTTTTTTTCTTTTCTTTTGCAGATTTCATGTTACATATTTAAAAAAAAAATTTTACTGCAGGCGGCGTAATAATTTAAATTCAATAAATGGTGAATTCCACGTCAACTCATCACAGATATTTTAATGACCTAATGGGATTTGGTTAATATTCTG